TGCATACTTCCTCCACTAGGCGATGCTGTTCCTCCACACACAGCCGGTTTGGATTTTCAGGCCATGCAAAGGTCAAGGGCTGGCACAAGGTAGCTCTGCCTCAGCTGCAACCCTCTGTTTTGGCTTTTACAGAAGATATAGAAAAGGGCAAGTCAAGCATTAAATGTGAAAAGGCAAGCAATAAAAACCAATCTCTCTAAATTACAGTTTAAATACAGTTGCCTGTTCCTACTTGAATTCTTGCAAACCTGTTATGATGTAATTGAGTTTGCAAGTTTCTATTTTAAAGGTAAGAAGAAATAGCATAATTTTTCCAAGAAATAAAGGCTTCATTTTCTTGCCTCCATGGTGAATGGATGTGTGAAGTCACCTTTCCTAAGTTCCACTTGTTTATTCATTTGTCTAACTCAGTCATTTCTAACCAAAAGTTTTAGGAACTGAAGTTGAAGCATGTCTAGGCAAGGCACCACCAAAAAATAGCCCTAGGCCTAAAATATGGTCTTCTTGTTGACTACACAGAAATTGGGTGAAGTTTTTGTCACCCCTGCTCATCCGGGTGATGATTACTGGTTGAGGAGGAACAGCCCCAGAAGAAAAAAACAAACAAACAGGAATCATCTAAAATATTATTTTGATTATTTATTACATTTGTTTGCTCATCTCACCATGTATATACACTGTAAGGACTGCACTATATAGGACAAACAGGGAGAAGTCCAGCAGAGCACATCTATGAACACCAACTAGCAGAAAGCATGATGAAAACTCCTTAATTTCACAACAAATGTACAGAATTAACTATGTTTCAGCTGGGAAACTGTGAGCATCCTAGATTAACATTAAAGCAATAATCAAGAAGTAAACAATACCAATCAAGGAACTAGCAACTCAGACAAACAAGTTATCAATAAGCAATACCCTAATCAAGAAAGCACCAAGTTCACGCCCACCAATGCTAACAGAGTAAGCTGCTAGTATATAAAATGAGACCAAACTCTACTCCCTACTAGCACTGATGATGTTTCCTAGTTTGGTAATGTCTCCAAGGAAACCACTGAGCCTAGAGAGCACCAAGGACCCCACAATTTAATACTCAGCTGCAAATATTCTCTTCCAACAGTAGCATAGTTAAGAGATTATCAGTGTGAATTGATTGGTATCTAAAGCACTGGTTGGCATGTTTCAATAATGTGACTTGCAGCAGAGAACATTATGCCATTAGATATATAAAGAAAAGAAAGAAAAAATGTTAAACTGTGACTCACATGCATTTATCAAATATGCATGTCATGTGGGTAATACAATAATTACGAACAAGGCATATGTTCTTTGTTTAGCCCAATGAGACCTGCAACAAAATCATAGTTTCAGTGCTTTCATTTAATGTTCAAGCCAACAATGCCTATTATTCCTTAAATTATTATTCCCTCCCCTGCTGTTCTCCACCCTGAAAGGAAACACACTGTAGTAGATGCTACTTCCACTTAGCCTGAATATTTTGTTCTTATTTTCTTGGGTATTTCATAGCATGGTGATAGTTTTCTTCTCAGCAGCTACATTTTAGTTACACAGTAATTGTCATAAATTGGCATCAAAAATCCACTAATAATGGCGTATTATTTCCCCAGCCTAGTACCTCAACTTGAGTTGGCCTTCAGTTGTCATAAATAGAAACCATCAGTCAGAGTTTGAGATAATTGGAAATGATGACAGAAATTTCTGAAGTCCCGTCTAATTACATGCAATACCACTTTGGGGAAAGTTGGTAAATATAACAATACACCTATCCAGGGGTGGGCTGCTGGGGGTACGCAGAGATTCGGGAGAGGCCCTAGCTAAGATTCTGCAGTTTCGAGAACCCCCAAATCCCACCCCTGGCCCACCCCTCCCAGGAGTCCCCAACCGGTCCATTTTGGATGCAGGTAAGTGCAAGGCACTTGCAGAGGCTCAAGTAGGATGAAACACGGGCCTTCTGGAAGTTTGGGAAGGCCAGAAATGGGCCCATTTCTGGCTTCCATAGAGCTTCCGGAGCCCGGGGAGGCTGTTTTCGCCCGCCCAGAGGCTTTAGGAAAGCCTCCAGAGCCATGCCCACCCAGCAACCAGGCACAGAACTTTTTGCTAAAATGTTTGAAGCCCGCCCCTGCACCTATCACACAGCAAGTACTAACCCACATTGTAAAACAACATGCTGTACCTCCAAGATGGTTTTTACCGTTCAGTGTGTCTTTAATACACAATCTGTATATTCAATGTTTTTTTAAAAAAATACATCATTACATTTTTTAAAAAAATCCATTTAATCAAAAGTTCACATAGGTTGTTTATAGAAACAATGCTGGGAATATTTAGAATGTTATATTTGGTCTTGTTTTATTTTTCTGATACTGAGTGAGGCTGGATAATCCAGAGGAGAGGCCAAGTTTTCATAATTTGATGCTGGAATGTCAAAAAGACAAACGAAACCACTGAATAAAGGATTGATTTTCATAATGTGATGCCAGTTCAGTGGACCATTTTTTCATCTTTAAACTCTCTCTCTCTCCAATCTGGAATCTACTCATAATGCAAATTTTCTGTTCATCAGAAGTTTGACAGAAAATGTCTCAATTAAAAGGACTCTTCCCAGTGGCCTTGGCTGGAATTAGTAGTTTCCATACAAGATGCTGGCTTTAACAATTACTTTGGCATGGAGGGAGTAAATGCTAGATAGAAAGCTGTTGTTTTGCTTTTTTCAATTTGTTATGTGATCTGCTGTGATGCCTAACAGTTTTCCAGCATCCACAGGAAAGGAAGAGAAAGAAGTTAAAAAACCTCTGAACTTATCTGATCAATTTAAATAATGTGACATGAAAAGTGATATTTTATTACAACATCTAAGTATCTTCTAAGTGGAACAATGCTTCTTTGCCAGTGTCACAGCTGAACACAGGGGGAAAAACATAATGGAAACTCCAGGTCATCCTGTTGAATTGTTTCGTAGGCTTAGCATTGTCTTCTCCTCCCTTCAACATTTCTCCCAAGAGAGAGTGGTTCACAATTCTTGTCTTAGATCCAGATGAGGAGCTAAGTTTTCCTTTGGTTTCCTGTCTACTTCCCAGGCAGTGAGGGAGAGGAGCTGAGGAAATTATTCCAATGACAACCAAGCCAAAGCTCTGCCCCTTGTAATAATCAATAGCTGGGAGTCATCAAAATCCCAACACATCTTGTTTTCCTTAGCATTCTGCAGCCCAGTTTTTAACAATAGTCATTACATTGTCATTTTTATGTGCGTTATGGACTATGAAAACTGCACTGAGTCACGAGAAATGAAACAATGTGGATACATATATAGGGAAAATACAATACAATAAGCACTTGCAAAGAAAAATGTTGGCATAAAGAACTTATCAAGGTATTTTTATATACTGCATCAGGAACATTCATGTATAAGGCCAGAAATTTTACCATGGTTCCCATTGCAACTTGGGCCACATAACACAGGCAAAGTTAGCCATTGAGGCCAGTCAGAGACCCAAGGCCCACAGTGCAGGGTCCATTATCCTTACTTACTATAAATATATATTGTACACAGTCAAGCAAAGAATGCTTAAATATTTTAAAATTATTTTTAATAGTTTTACATTTTTTCGATTAAAAAAACATTTCATTCTCGTGTACCATCCACAAGAGAAAGTGTGCCTTTGGAAAGACTGATAGTCATTTACATATTTAGTTCAGTTTTAGTTTCAGTCTTGGCCCTACCTGCTGGAAAATCGCCCAGGAACACCCAGGCTCATTTGGTGAATATCCCAGCAAGAAAGCACTTCCTTTTCCTCCTGGGACCATTAAGTTGCAAAGTCTAAAATAACTATAAACAGGTCGTCCTCGACTTACGATCACAAGTGAGCCCAAAATTTATGTTGTTAAGTGAGGCATTTGTTAAGTGAGTTTTGCCCCATTTTACCTTGCCAGTTAAGCAAATCATTGCAATTTATTTATTTATTTATTTAATTTATATTGCCGCCTATTCGCCCATGGCGAGTTGTTAAGTTAGTAACACAGTTAAGTGAGTCTGACTTCCCCATTGACTTTTACTTGTCTGAAATTTGCAAAAGCTGATTGCGTGACCCCAGGACATAACCACTGTCGTATGGACCAGTTGCGCCAAGCATCTGCATTTTGATCACGCGACCATGGGGGGAAAAGGCTGCAACTTTTCGAAGTTGAAGGGTCAATAGACGAACTGTTGTAAGTCGAGGACTACTTGTAGCCCACCGTTTGGAACAGTGCAAGCAGGCTGAGCACCACATGAAGCATTTAATGCTGGCCGTGTTAGCGGTCTGTCCCCCTCGGATCCACTGAATGAGCGGCCTCGAGGCTTTAGCGGATCCCTTCCCCGACCTGGTGGTCTCCAGATGTGCCGGCAGAGTCTCCGGGAGTCGAAAGCCAACTCATCCGGAGGGCGTCAGTTTGAACACGGCTCCGTTGGCGCCGGGAAGAGGAGACTTTGGACGTCCCGAGTCGTGTGTATTGCTCGGGACCTGCAGTGTCGCGGAGGCGGCCTTATCCTGCTGAAGCGCTCGCCAGCCGCCGCTTCGAGCCCGGCCGGAAAGATGAGGCGCAAAAAACAAGCGGCGCGGCAGGCTTCGCTTTTAAAATTGCCTCCTCGCGCGGGACGGGACGGGAGGCGACCATGGAGGAGGCGGAAGAGGGACAGCAGTGTCGCGAAGTGGCCAGCCCCTCTTCCTCACAAACGCCCCGAAAAGCTTCGGGCGCGCTGGATGGAGGCGCCGGAGGAAGCGCTCCAGACGGAACCCTTGCGCTAGGAGGAAGGGGCAACCGGAGGGAGGGGGGGGGTCTCTGTCCAAAGTCTTGATCCCGAGATCAGAAGCGGCGGCCGGGAAGGTTCTTCCCGCGTCGCTGGTTAGTTGTCCTCGCCGGCGATCCCTTGCAGCGTATTGCTCCCCCAACAGGCAAAACTTTCTCTTCGCACACAGATCCACACACTGACGTCTTTTGCGCATTTCCTGCATTGGGGAAACAGACACACCGAGCGAGCGAGCGAGCCAGCTGGGGGAGCCTTCCTCGCCCAGCATCAGGCAAGCCTAGCCCGTGGCACAAACCAGACCAGCGGCCTTGAGGTGGGGAGGGAAGGGCGGGAACTTCGTTTGCCGGCGTCAGATTTTTTTTTTCCCCTTTCCCCTTTTCTTTTTTTTTTTTTCTTTTTTAAATCGACCCTCTGAAAATAACAGAAAAAAGAGCCGCCCTCCTTTCCCGAGCAGGTCGATCGGGAGCAGTTTCTCCTCATGCATTGGGTTCGATCCCCTGGATTCTTGGCCTTGGAAGAGGAGGAGGAGGAGGCGGAGAAGGCGAGGAAGCTCCTGCAGCAGCCGAGGCGGATGTAAGGTTCCTCGGACTGTGTGATTTCCCCCCCCTTCCCCCTCCCCTTCAGTCGGAAGGCTGCGAAGTGGGCAGGGCTGCGCGCTAGGTTCGGTGTTCCTGGGTGTTTGCTTTTCTTTCCGACCCCCTTCCCCCTCCTCTCCTCTCCCCTCCCTCCCCTCCCCTGTTGTTCCTGCCGCCGCCGCCGCCGCACAGGCAAGTCAGCAGCAGAGCGTGAGCGGCGGATTGCTTTCAACGGAGGACTGCTCAAGGATTATGCTCTAAAGAGAGAAAGACGAGGCGGGGGGGGGGAGTCTTTCTTTTAAGAAAAATATATATATATACGCATATACATATATAGACCTAGATACGTCCCTGCGTTCCCCGCTCCGAGGATTCTTTTGAATGTGCTGCGATCGCATTTCGGATTTCTGCAAGCAGCAACGCGGTCCCTCTCCCCTTCCCTTCTGCCCCCCCCCCCCGCCCTTTGTTTTTCCGTTAAACACACACACACACACACACACAGGCCAATCTCTCTTAAATATATGCGTGTGTGTTTGTATGCATGTGTATATACACATGCGTGTATATATGAATGTATGCCTGTATGCATTCACTGGGTGTCGCAAGAGGAAAAACTAGCCAAAGCCACCGAAAGGAGCCCCCTGCACCCACCCAACCCCCGCTCCACTTAAACCTGCCTTCTTATTTATTGAGACATCTCCTAGAAACCTTCCTGGCTCCGGAGCGTGCTTAATCCCAAAGAAAAGTGAAGCCATCTAACCATGGTGGTTTTTAATGGCATGCTGAAAATTAAAATCTGCGAAGCGGTGAATCTCAAACCCACCCCTTGGTCGCTAAGGCATGCGGTGGGTCCCAGGCCACAGACCTTTCTACTGGACCCATACATCGCCCTCAACGTGGACGATTTCAGGATCGGGCAGACCTCCACCAAGCAGAAAACCAACAGCCCGGCCTGGAACGACGAATTTGTTACCGATGTTAGTAACGGCAGGAAGATTGAAATGGCCGTTTTCCACGATGCCCCCATCGGGTACGACGATTTTGTGGCTAACTGTACCATCCAGTTTGAGGACTTGCTGCAGAACGGGAGCCGGCACTTCGAGGACTGGGTGAGTGCTCCAGAGGGTGTGCATAGCAGGGCCAGGTTGTTTTTGTGGCTTTGAGCTAGATGAAGGTTACCCCCTTTGACAGATGTATCTCAGCCACACATGCTTATCTTGGACCCAGGGTTCAAGCAGGTGGCTGAAGTATGCTTGCAAGTACATAGCAGATGTGGTGTCTCAAATCTGCCTTGTGAAAAGGAAGATGCTGCTATTCTTCTTCTTTTTAACAAGAAGGCAATGTAGTTTGAATCTTGATAGCTAGGATTTAGGGTCCTCAGCTCTGCCACTGACTTGAATACCCCAATAGACATCTAGCTATTTCTCTACTGCATGATTAGGGTTGGTTGCCATATGTTTATTTGACCATCTATTCATTCAGCTTCTAACCCACTGTAATCTGCTGGGACTCCCAGCTATTAACACATTTATATTCATAACGCGGCTCTCCAGAACAATAGAAATAAAGTATCCAGAAACAAGCCCCCCCACAACCAAAACCTAACATCTTCTGATGATCAAGATGTCACATTTGCCCTTTTTATTTCCCAAAATTTAAGATTTTTTTTATTTTATTTTTTGCTATTGCAACCCAGCCCATCTTTTTTAAGCGCTGGTGGTAAAATCAAGGTTCTGGAAGTTCTTTCTCTGTTTTATACCCTTGCTGCATAGCATGTGTCCTAATCATGAAAGAAAAACAGGAACCGCAGAATTCTTAGATATGACTCTTCGATTCTGAGATATCATCTTCATCTGCTTTGTTTTCAGCCATCAGGATGGACAGGCTGGCTGTTGGAAAGTACTGTAACTTATGCTCAGGCAACACGTTTATTTAGCGTTTCAGGAAGTCATGATGCAACAGGATTGGGGTGGCAAACTTTATCGAACATCACATAGCAGGGTGCGATTGACTGATAGAACATGAACACTGGCTTTAGATATGAATCTAGAGGAGTCAGTCAATTATGATCTTGATTCAGGCTGAGCAAGAGCTGTGAGTAGATCTTGTTTCAGGTCCATTTGCCCCTGAGATCTTACATAGGGTGATCTCACTAAAAAGACTTGAGCGTGTGTGTCTCATTTGTTTATTAGTTGGCTTTGGGTAGAGAGTAACAAATGAACTGGGAGATCAGCATAGATTTTCACATCCCTCAGTTGTTTCTATATCCACTGCGGGTGTGGAGTAGAAAAGGGGCTAGAATCTCATAGAGACAGAGTAATATTTTCAACAGGCAGGCACAACATGTTCTAGGTGATTTTTGCAAGGATTACACAGCATAACTATGGACAGTTCCACAGTACTACTTTGTACCATCTTGGGATCCCTTTCAAATCTGACAGTCTCAATAATATTTCTTTGTCCATTTTTGTAAAATTGCTTCCAATTTGCCAATCTTAAGGGAAATCCTACACATAGAGGTCCATGTCCAGTTCCCAGAGCTTCTCTTCCTATACAGAATATTTAAAACGTATCTCCTCTGCCATACTAAGATGCAACTATGGTCAAGACTAATTGGAGGGAAAGACTGGTTGCATTTCACTTTCACAATTCACGGGGATGCTGAGTATAATAGAGGATTGGTGACAAGGTAGTTGAGAAGTCTTTGGAATATTTCAATGCTTCTGTTCACATTTATTTACAATTGATCTTCCCTCATGGTATCCAAATAGTCTGATAGATTTTTTTTTTTTTTGCAGACAACTGAACAGATACTTAAAAGCAAATGAAGCACTGAAAAAATATAGGGTGTTCATAGTTATTTTATTCCATGTTTTGGATAGTAGGGATGAAATGGCTTCTGTCCATCACAACTGCTAATACAGAATGAGAGACACTGATTTGGAGGAGGGCGTTTGCACTCTATTGATCAGATGGGGAAAGAGGCTGAATACAGATTAGATCATGATGTGGGGTTTGTTTTGTTTTTGCATTTGGCAGAAATGAAGATAGTTTTGGGTCAACTTCAATATACAATGTTAAGGATGGGGAGGACAAACTCTGGTAGGATGAATGTATAAAATACAAATAAAATATATTTAATACAAAGCAATTAACCAGTGTCTGTATGCTGTAAAAAAAGGTAAATTTCTTGAAGACTGTTATAAGAATTGGGAAGTAGATAAACCTCTGATGTAATTCCTGTTTGTTTTTAAAAGTAATTCTTTGTATTATATAAAATGTGTATATCTGTTCAAAATATATGAAAGTCCAGAGATAAATTCAGTGGTAGAAGAATTGAGCAAGTGCAATTGTGGTCCCAATTTTTGAGAACTATTTTTCTTGGGACTATTTCCTGCACTTGGGTAGATGCATTTTATTGAACTCTTATTTGAAGAGTATATTTTGGATTCAGATGAAAGTCGGCAAACATTCGAACTGTTATGAGTGCACAAAATCTGATTTTTTGAACTTTCAGAATGTTATTAAGGTAACCTCATTCTTCAGAGCATGTGCAAACTCCTGAACTAAACATATATTTCTTAGAATCTTCTAGAAGTCATTATTAGTGTGATTAATTATGTGTATGACACATTTGATGCACAAACATTTTATCAAATTTAAGAATCCTTTGCCAGGTCTTCACTATTCTTATTTTATAAATGGGGTACTGAGGCCAAGATTAATAAAATATGATGCTTTTTGTCATGCATTGCCTATTTCTCTTGGGTGTGTGCTCCAGACAGTGATATCTTCTATCTAGAACCTCTTTTTTTTTTTACTGCTTCTTCCATATTTTGTTCTTACCACCAAAACAAAAAACAAAAAAAAACACCCACAATTCACTAAAGGGAAAATACAGACAGGCAGGATAACAACTTTTGATTGGTAGCATTAGTAATATTTTGCTTGAAACCATCCCAAGAGTGACTTTATAACATCGTGATATTACCCAGCATATTATTTATTGTGGTTCCCCACGGAGTCAGCGAGATGTTTAGACTGGATTTGGCATTTTTATCTACCTATTGAGTGCTTCCCAAGGACTTGGGAAGAGGATGATGATGATGATGATGATGATGATGATGATGATGATATGAGCAGAGAAAGACTGAATTTGGCTGCTCAACATTAGTCTATTTTTCTTCCATCACCACAGTAGCTTTCCAAGCCCAGTTGAAAAGAACTGCATTTTACAATAGGATAAAGTTCCAATGAGAAGGATATTGCCAAGCACTGATTTATAGCTTCAAATGTAGTGCTTCAGGAACATTTACAAGAAAACAGATGCTGCTGGGTGAGGTCATACATGGGTACTGGGTCAGGGACCATTAATATAGAATCTCAGGAAGCTGCAACTAAAAATTCAGCCTTGTGAAATAAATTTGGGTTATTTTGTTCTCTTAGCAGATTGAGAATGCTTTGCCAAGGTCTGAAGCAAAGGCTTTCCCCAATCACATAACTAGGTAACTGTTGTTTTTAAATGGATTAATTATAAAGTCTATGCTCTCTGTTCCTTAGGACCAAAATTTCCTTTTGGATACAAGAAAAAAAAATCAAAGACATAAAGGAAAGAGCCCTCTTAAATGAGTCATGCAGTAATACTTCCTAGAATTCAAGTGTCTAGGTGGCAAGGAATCACTTTTTTGGGGAGGTGATAGTCCACAAACTTAAAAAAATGCTTTCAATTTGCTTCTGCAGGTATGGCAGAACTGAGTGTGAAACAGCAAATATATTTACTTAGGTTATTCTGCTCATGTTCTCACCTTTCACGTGAAGCACTAAGAAGCTGAGGCTTCCAGGAGTTTTGCTTTTTATAAAATGACAGGCTGCTTCAGTTTAAGTTTATATCTCAGTCTTTAGAAATCAACGGTAGAACAGATAATGATTAAGGAAGCACTTCACAGAAGTCAAAGGAAACATTGCTTTGTTGAGAGGTCTCTAACCATCACATGGATGAAGTCAAATGCTGCAACCACCTTGCTAAAACTGTCGATCTGTACAGGGAGTGGATAGGAAACAATTCAGTATACAGCCTGACAATTCAATGTACAGGTTCTTAATTGTTCTGTGATGTGTGACAATATAGATATAAGGTAATAAAGCTGCTTTATGGGATGTGCAGAGTGAAATCCTGGACTGATTTCTGGTCAGCAAGGAATTACAAATAATCCTAGCTCACCAAAATGTAAAAATTGTTGGTGTATGCCTAAAAAAAAGATGCATAAATATAGTATATGAATCAATCCTTAGCAAATGCTCACCAATGTTAGCATAAAGAAGCACAGAGCAAAGCAAATATAATGAACTGATTTTGAAGAAATCATGAGAGTATTATGATCCCTATTAAAATTGTTCTTAATAGGGAGCGAAAGGAAGGGGATACATGAGCTTCAACACCATATATTACCGTAATTGCCTATTGAAATCCATAACACGGCTACCAATTTCAGGTCTTGAAAGAGAAACAATGATTGTGTTTTCAGGTCTGTAATTGAAATAAATTATAATTATGGTTTCCTGACAATAGCTTTTTGATTTCTTAAAAGTTTTTTTTAAAAAACATGATAAATCAGATATTTCTAAGCTGCATATTCAGCGCTAGATCAATGTGTTAAAATCAGTTGAAGAAATAAATGGTGCCAACATATGTTGACAAGGAATATATGTGAATCATTTTAAAGAAGCTAGTGACATTTCAGATATTTTACTCCATTTCTGATTCTGCCTTCCTTGGCAGATAATTGTGTTGGTTGGCCATAATTATTCCTTTAAACTTTGAAAGTGATACACTGACTGCATATCCTGCCTGTGATTATATCTTGGATCTGCCTATGAAACAGGTCTTCCTCACCCCTCCTTCCCAGTAGCAAGCTGAACAGTTATGTCCCATATATAAAGCATATTTATGCCCATATTAGCATGCATTTACATTGTAATCAATTTCATGTTAAAATCCAAATAGAGGTGATTTGAATCAAATTACATCAGTCAATATGTAGTCAATACATAGATACCAGTATATATTTTGAATTATTACATTGACCCTTACATGGATCTTTTTGCACAA